AAAATCTAAAATATAATTAGAATAATTATCGAGTTCCAACAAAATAAATAATTATTATCTTTATAAAAAAATTACATTATTAAACCAAATATAAATTACTTCGTTATTGTACATAAATTAAATTATAAAAAATTTGAATTAAAAAATTACACAAAAAAATGAGTAATTTCAAATAGTTAATTTGATAATAATATCGATATATTTTTGTCAATATTTTATGATATCTTCAAACATATATTTTATTCAAAAATAAAAATATCATCGTTTTCTCAAAATCACATAAAGTCATATTATAACATCTACTGAAATAAAGAATAAAATGAAATATTAAAATCATGATGTATCTCGCTGCATTGCGCGAGTACGCTTCTAGTATATATATATATGTGGAGCATCTAATTTATAAGGATAGATTGATCTTTCTTTTAAGTGAAGCAATTGATGAGAGACCACGAAAAAGTGTAAGACTAAAAAGGGGTCACTTTTACAAAGGTAGAATGATAGTATATATATATATATATATATATATATATATATATATATGTGTGTGTGTGTGTGTATATATATATATTATATTTATTTGAAAATTCTATGAAGATTATGGTTTGTATCTTGTATCATTTTAATTTTAAAGTTACATATAAATTCTCCTTTTCGTGTAGGGTTTTTTGCTTTTCGTACTTCCGCTTCATTTATTTAAAAACCATGTAGTACATTTTTTGTTTTCTAGTACTTTTCTCTAACGACTGTTATGTTTCAGCCATTAAATACACCATGTGCCTTTGACATGAAGGCAATTTTAGCATGTTGATTCTTATAAATGACGTGGCATGCATCTTCAGTAACATATACAAGAAACATAAGTAGATAGAAAACCCATATTGACCTGCTCGACCATCGTTCATTGTATCATCGTCCTCCGTACATTTTGTCACCAAGTAACGTATGCATCAGGTTAAACAATATATGAGATGAGCCATGGGTTAGGTTTCGATTGGGTTGAGAGAGAGATAAGAGAGGCAAGGAGGGAGAAGGGATGCACACGATAACAACCACCACACCAGTCATCACCAGATTTTCAAGTACCGATGTTTGCCTTTGAATCTCAATCATAACCATTAGACTCGAGCATTAGTGTCTGCCTCTGAATCTCAATCACCACCAGGCCTATTCATCGGTTGATATCCATTTGATTTGAGGGGAACCGAACTGATCCAATCATCCATTGGATGTTGGATTTCGCCAACTGATCTGATCCGATCCGATTAACATTGGATACCCGATCTAATCCAATGAATGATTAGATCAGTTCGGTTCTATCCATTGAATAATTTTATTGGATATCCATCGGATATTCAATGGATGATCCGATGGGATTGGTTCCATCCAATATGTTAATTCAATTTAGTTCTCTAACAATGATACAAATTAATTAATCACTTTTAGTATGTGTTAAAACCAACACAAGAGAAGTTAAAAATTCAAAGTGTCACTTAAAACAAATTTCGATTTAAACAATTTGAAAATAAATTAATTGGACAATGATTGGATAGACAACTGGATGATCATCAGATGGGTAATTGGATCGGTTCGATTCGGTACTGGTCGGTTCTAGACTGCCATCCGAGAACCGACCGATCCAAATTGGATGTTGAAATTTTCAATCCGATCAGATCTAATTACAATTGGAAATCCAATTATGGTTGTTCAGATCTAATTGGATTAGTAGATTCTATTTGAATCGGTTGATTCTCTACACACCCCTAATCACCACCACTACTTCCAAGACGATGAAAGGAGGGAGAGAGAGAGATAAACGGGGATTTTGTTTTTGTTTCCTCACATATGGAAAATAAAGGACAAAATAAGCAATTAAAAAGTGAAATCAATAGTAAAATGTCCAAATTACCCTTATTTGCAATGTGACACCACTTAACGAAAAACACAGTAGATGGAGTCAGAGCGAGACGATAAAACATAAAAACTTATATCATAAGGTTTTCTGTAATCTGTAGTACATAAGTGTTTATTAGGAAAATTAAAAGGTAGGGTAAGCAATATTATATACGAGCATAATGAATAAAAATTGAAGACATTTCAATCCGATACCTATTTTGGAGACGCACAATATATATTCTTTTTCGAAGACCACAGCACATGTATTAAAAAAGAGTAAATTACACTTTTGGTCCCTGTGGTTGTGGCTGTGGCTGTGGCTGCCACTCACTATCAAGTCTCATCCATATTTTGAAATGATTACTGTGACTTGTCATTTTGTTTCACTATTGGTCACTGTGGCTGTAATTTTGTTACAATATTGGTCCTCTGAGTAAACCTTATTAAAAGTCTCGGTTAAAATGAGTGCAGTTTGGTCTTTTTATTATTTATTGTCCCTTTTCTTTTAAGTTGTATTAGATGTTTTTTTTTTATCTTTTACGTCATAAATGTCGCCCACACCCTCATTTATTCCTTCATTGTCAACCAATCCAGCCTCCCCTCCAGTCATCTCCTCTAGAGTCTGGACAAACATCGTGAATCTATGATTATACCAACATTGTTTTTCTTCTCCATTCATCAAACACCACCTTGACCTCCCACAACCTGTATCTCGTTGTTCCTTTCCGTGACCAAAACCAACCGATCCTTGCACCTCTCCGACGCCAGCAATAAACCTCTATCTCCATCCACCACCACCACCTACAACTCCCCCTACTTCCGTCATGACAACCCCAAATCCCTCGATTGATCTCAGATCCCTTCATTGTTTGCAATTTCAAGGACAACACGCGTTCAAAAATATAAATTGCAGAGGGCATCAATACCTACCCATGACGTATTGAAGTGCTGTACATTACTACACCAATCACCCACAAACACGAAGCAACAGTAAAAACAAATTAGAAGTATGTTTACAATTGATAAATAGTGTAATAAAATGGCAATCAGAATGACTAAAAGTTTTATTGATTCAGAATAAAGACAAAACTTGATAGTAAGTAGCAACTATATGAAACAAAATTGTAATCTACTCTCAAAATAAGCAAATTATATATAATTTAAAGCATATACACTTTAAATATATAATTTAATTTGTTAAAAAAATAGAAATCAGATTAATATATCTCATTTAAAAAAATATTACTCTTTGATATAAACAATAATAGGTGTTAAGGGTTGTGTTCTAGTGAGAAGAAAAGTTGCGGTGAGAAGCGTTAAAAGCGATCTCCACCGTTGGATGAATCCTAATTAAATGTCAACACTAATAAGGTGCACCGAGATACACCAGATCAATTCTCTACTAAAGCGCAATTCATGGATGAACATGAGATTGAATATGACTAAAGGTTGAGATTTCTTCTTATACTTCTTATCATAACTTATCTTCTCATAGGGTGGTATTCTGAAATCACAATTGCTTGGATTCTTGCTTGGATCGTGTATATTACTTTATGCATAAGATATTTTGACCCTATAGAAACTAAATTTTCGTCCGGGGGGCGACCCCCTTGACCCCTGCCTTTTGGTCGTACTGGGATCAATCTAGTCTTACACAAGTGTGCGTTCTGTACATCATAACTTGCATAAAAAACTAAGTAAAGATCTCATTTAGCTTTCGTATATTTATCCATTACACCAAATGAAAACCAATGACACTAAAATCATCTACACATGATACTTTGCCTAGGTGTTAAATAGTAAAAGGATAAACGACAACCACATATTCTTTTAAACCAAAAATTACAATAATTTGTATTCTAAACATTGTTTTAAATAAATAAATGACAAAAAGTCACATGATAAAAAGGCATTTGTATTTAAGTAACAAGCATCCATTTATTGACCATAATTATGACATTAAAAAGGTAACAAACTTTTATCATTCAAATATTACCGAATTTTTTAATAATATAATTAACATAAAAAAACATTAAAATAGAAAATCCGTTGAAATTAAATCTGATCTTTTAAATTCTTTAAATTTTGATTTAACAATTTCAAAGAAATTATAGAAAATCTGTTGAAAATGCTCTAACCACATATATTCATAGGTTGAAGCATTTTTTGAAAGACAACAATATGTTAAAACCCAAATAACCAGTCTGAAATATTTGTTTTAAAATATAAAATCTTGTTCATATTTTAATAACAATGGTTTTCTTTTTGTCTTTGGATTAATTATTAATTAATAAATTAATTATATTTTCACAAAAACTAATCAATAAATATACAAAACAATTAAAATATTATGTTAAAAAGTTAATTAAAAAATTAAAATAAGCACTTAGAAAAAAAAATGGGTGAGAATAATATGAACGTAAACCTTAAACTCAAATGAAACATTTAAACAAAGAGGACGTATGACTTTATGGTCACAAATATCTTAAAAAGCCTCCAAACACTGCCACCCCCACTCTCACCCCCC